TTGGGGGAGGCCGTCTTCCCACCTGAGACCTCCAAGAGCCGGCGCTCAGATGGAAAAGGCCAGCCCGGAGAGGTGCTGAGTCCCCTGCCAGCGCCTGCAGGGAAAACGGCTCCCTCCTGGGCTCTTGGGCTGCTGTTGGCCGACGCCAGCTTCCTCCGCTACGCGGCCACCGCTCGGTGCTTGGCACCGCCTGGGCTGGCAGCCGCAGCCGGACAAAGCCCCGATTCACCCTCTCCTCCACCTTCGCCAGCAGCACCCGCTCCGCTGCGAGTCAACACGGCCTTCTCCTCAGCCATCGGCACAGGTCCGGAAGAGGACGGAGCGCACAGTGGTTAGGGCAACCTCGAAGTTTTGCAAAGGGGAGGAAGCAGGCGGAGGAGAATCGAGGGATTGATTAAGAACCTCGAAGGTTAACCCCTGACCTGGGTCGTTCAGGCGGGCCCGATCTCCTCTCGGAAGCTCAGCAGGGCAGACCCTGGCAAGGACTTGGATGAGAGACTTCCTTGGAATATCAGCAGTGGGGGGGGCAGGCTTTACTCAGCCGCCTCCAGCGTTCCCTCTAAGTTGAGTTAGTGTGAGTTGGCTCACAGTTTTCTAGCCTCCGGCTCACACATTTTCTGTCTCAGCTCAGGAAGGAGGGCTCCAGAGCAAAATAAATTTCTGCAGCAGTTTGGGAAGGAAGGCTCCAGAGCCAACTGATTTATGCAGCAGCCAAATCGCTCACTCACCACTTTAATGCCGGCAGCTCACAAAGTAGAATTTTTGCTCGCAGGACTCCACAGCTTAGAGGGAGCGTTGGCCACCTCTCTGAATATCCTCCAGGACCCCAGTAGGGGTCAGTCACCAGAGGTCACCATGGCTTCCAGGTGCACGCACACACACACACTCTCATACAAAACCCAAGAACCTAGAAGGTTAAACTAAAGTGCCCAGTGTTTAAATAGCGAAACATAGGACATAAATATGTACCAAATATACAAATAATGCATGTCTTTATTGCAAAATGATTTTAAAAAACAATCTGCGCTCCTAACCGCTACACCGAACTGTCTCTTTTCTCACATTATATCACATTAAAGAGTATATCAATAGAAGAATAGAATAGAATAGATTGTGATTAACACATGGAATTCACTGCCACAGGAAGTGGTGGCGGCTACAAGCATGGACGGCTTCAAAAGGGAATTAGATAAGCATATGGAGCAGAGGTCCATCAGTGGCTCTTAGCCACAAGGTATAGATAGGGACTCTGGGGCAAGGGATGCTCTGTATTCTCGGTGCTTGGGGGGGCAACAGTGGGAGGGCTTCTAGTGTCCTGGCCCCACTGCTGGACCTCCTGATCACACCTGGTATTTCTGGCCACTGTGTGGCAGAGTGTTGGACTGGATGGGCCATTGGCCTGATCTAACATTGGTTTCTCTTGTGTTATTATATGGAGCAGAGGTCCATCATTGGCTATTAGCCACAAGGTATAGATAGGGGCTCTGGGGCAAGTGATGCTCTGTCTTCTTGGTGCTTGGGGGGGGCCACAGTGGGAGGGCTTCTGGAGTTCTGGCCCCACTGGTGGACCTCCTGAGGGCACCTGGTATTTCTGGCCACTGTGTGACACAGAGTGTTGGACTGGATGGGCCTTTGGCCTGATCCAGCATTGGCGTCTCTTGTGTTCTTATGTTCTTAAGCAGATCCCAGAATTAAAGCCGAAAGGCCCAGAATCTTGCGCCCCTTGATAGCTTGGCAAATTTGGGGCGGCATGAATTGAGGTAGGGGGAGAGACCGCTTCGGTCCAGGTCTTTGCCAGGGGAAAGACGGTTTGGATAGCAAAAGCCGAAGGGGCTTTGGAGATGATCCTAGTGGAGAGGACCAGAAACTGGACAGAGGTGAACAATTTTGGTGTCCAAGGCACCTTTTAGACCAACAAAGCTTTATTGAGGGTCTGACTATTCAAGACCAATATTATTCCAGACCTTTGTTGGTCTTCAAGGTGCCACTGGACTCTAAATTTGCTCTCCTGCCTCAGACCAGAGCAGGTTGAGAAAGAGGTTCTTTTCTCCCTTTCTCACAAGACAAGAACTCGTGGGCACTCCCGCTCCTAAACACTACACCAAACTGTCTCTTTTCTCACGTCATATCACATTACAGAGTATATCAATAGAAGCAGATCCCAGAATTAAAGCCGAAAGGGCCAGAATCTTGCGTCCCTTGAAAGCTTGGCAAATTTGGGGTGGCATGAATTGAGGTAGGGGGAGAGACCGCTTTGGCCCAGGTCTTTGCCAGGGGAAAGACAGTTTGGATAGCAAAAGTCGAAGGGGCTTTGGAGATGATCGAAGTGGAGAGGACCACAAACTGGACAGAGGTGAACAATTTTGGCGTCCAAGGCACCTTTAAGACCAACAAAGCTTTATTCAGGGTCTGAATATTTAGGTAAAGGTAAAGGTTCCCTTGCTCGAAAGCCAGTCGAATCCGACTCTAGGGTTGCGGTGCTTATCTCAATTTCCAAGCCGAAGAGCAAGCGCTGTCCGAAGACGTTTCCGTGGTCATGTGGCCAGCATGACTAAACACCAAGGCGCACGGAACGCTGTTACCTTCCCACCAAAGTGGTACCTATTTATCTACTTGCAATTTCTTGCTTTCGAACTGCTAGGTTGGCAGGATCTGAGTATTCAAGACCAATATTATTCCAGACCTTTGTTGGTCTTCAAGGTGCCAGTGGACTCTAAATTTGCTCTCCTGCCTGAGACCAGGACGGTTGACCACCCGGGCAGAGGTGAGCGTTTTCTCCAGCTTCCCGATCCCGGCAGAGGCAGGGAGACGGCCCTCCTCTCCTCTGCAGCTCCGGCTTCCTCTTTTAAGCTCGCTTTTCTCCCACGCAGTGGGTGTGTTTGTGTTTGTGTTAGCCAGACAAGGAGATGGGCCCAGACCGGCCACATTCCCCGGTCCATCTGGAACGCATTTATTTTTTCTTCCATCGCAGAGGCCTGTGAGAGCGCACCCCGGCCTCCCTCCAGCTTGGTGGGCCTTTGCAATGCCCCAGGTTGCCGTGCCAACCTCCAGGTGGGCCCTAGAGATCGCACGGAATGATGACCAATTTCCAGGCTGCGGAGATCTATTCGGCTGGAGATAGCGGCTGCCGTGGAAGGTGGCCTCTAGGGCACTACGCCCCACAGAGGTCCCTTCTCCCCCAAACCACGTCTCCCCCAGGCTCCAACCCCCAATCTCCAGGAATTTCCGAGTCCAAAGAGGGCAACCCTAGGACAGTGGAGGATGCAAGCTGGCCCCTGACTGCCCCCTTTTATTTTACCCTGGAGCTCAAGTCATTCCTAGCCAGTTTGGGGTAGTGGTTTGAGAGCGCAGATTTTAATCTGGGAGAACCGCGTTTGATTCTCTCCATGTGCAGCTGCTGGTGTGACCTTGGGTCAGTCACAAGTTCTCTCAGAGCTGTTCTCTCACGAGCAGTCCTTGAGAGAGCGCTCTCAGCCCCGCCTTCCTCACAGGGTGTCCGTTTTATTTTAATTTTTTTCTATTTATAGGCCGCCCTCCCCGCAAACTGTGGGGAGGGGAAGGGAAAGGAGATGGTAAGCCGCTCTGAGACTCCTTCAGGTAGTGAAGGGCGGGGTATAAATCCAATCTCTTCTCCTTCAATCAATCAGTCTTATTATTTCAGCCTCACATTAGAAGTGGGCCTTTTATTCCTTAAGGCAGTGAGAGCCAGTTTGGGGTAGTGGTTTGAGAGCGCGGACTCTGATCTGGGAGAACCGTGTTTGATTCCCCCACTCCTCCCCATGCAGCTGCTGGTGTAACCTTGGGTCAGTCACAAGTTCTCTCAGAGCTGTTCTCTCCAGGGCCGTTCTCGAGAGAGCTCTCTCAGTCCCACCTCCCTCACAGGGTGTCTGTTGTGGGGAGGGGAGCTGTGAGAGAACTTGTGACTGACCCAAGGTTACACCAGCAGCTGCATGGGGAGGAGTGGGGGAATCAAACACGGTTCTCCCAGATCAGAGTCCGCGCTCTCAAACCACTACCCCAAACTGGCTCTCACTGCCTTAAGGAATAAAAGGCCCACTTCTAATGTGAGGCTGAAATAATAAGACTGATTGTACCTTACTTAACCACTACACCAAACCGGCTCCCCTGCTCTAATATGGAGATCTCCAGGCCCCACCGGGAGGTTGGCAACGCCAGTGACAATGAACAGTTCAAGGGGGGGGATGGGAGCCCTGACTTCAGCTCCCGGTCGGATCGACAACCTATCCGGGTCTGCGCGCGGTTGCGCGCCGAAGCCAAGGCGGGATGCTCTGGTTTTGTTCGATTCCCTCTCCGATCACAACAGAGAAGCGGCCAAGGTTTCCCAGCGCCGGAGAGCAAAGCGTTAACGCGCCCCCCCTCCCCGCGCAGAAGCATCTGTGTGTTCGCACAGGAAACTGCCCAGCAGAAGTGCGGGCGGGAGAATGCGTGTGCCCCCTCCCCTCCCCTCCCCT